CAGTTTTAGTTGCTTGGCAAATTCATGGTGCTATGAAATTTAAAAGGTTTCTGTTTTCTGAACAAGATTTAGTAAGGAATCCATTTAAGTGGTTTTATTCTTGTTTGTTTTGTGTTTTCACAGAAAGTGGATTGTTCCTGGTATGGGCCAGTCATGATGATGAAGACAATAGTAAGACTCAAGAAGATTAATTAAACCACAAGTCCAAAAACGTGCCTAGTGATAAAGAGGATTATTCTGCATGAAATCCTGCTTTGGGAGGAGTTCTTCCTCTTAGTTTCTATCTTCCTGGTCTTTCTAGAAGAGCCTCAGCTTTAAGCGCTGTGTATGTTTTCTGGAAAACCTCCAAGTTATGTGTGTGTGCTCTATTCTCATAAAGCTGAACTGAGAAGTGCTATGTGAGGAAATATTTGTATTATGGTCGGGGGGAAATGTTTCATGGGGAAGAATTTTCATCAGAGGAACATGTGGGGTTTTCCCTTACTCCTGATTGGCTCTCACTCCTGAGTGACTTACCTAATTGGTGAGTTTGGAAGCAGGAACAAAGTGTTTGTGGATTAGCCTCTCCTGTGCATCTTAGACCCACTTGCACACAGAGAGGATGCTGTGTTGGTTTTTGTTCTCTGCCATGCTGTGACCTCAGTAGAACATGCTCTCAAATGTGAGTGAGATTCGTCTGTTTAGTGCTGCCTGTTACTGGATAAGTAAGTCTGACTAGATCAGACTACTAGCAAATCTATTTGGTTGTACATGTTTCAATTTTGCTTTCACCCAAAATAAAGCTAACATTTTGTATGTCTGACTCCTGTGTCTACTTCTCAATTGCTTCTTCCAAAGTTGGATGGGAAAGAGAAAGTTATGTATTAAGTATGGGAAAGCCTAACACGAGGTACAGGGGTGAGGTCAAGAGCACCGGCATGGACATGAAGTTTCCTGATTTCAAAATCTGGTTTAATAACTTACTGTGTTACCATGTATAAGTTATTTAAACTTTCTGTGCCCTTGTTACCTTATCTGTAAAGTGAAGATAATAATAATACCTACCTTCATGGAGTAGTAAATGAAATAATACATGTACAGTGTTTGAAGCAGTTCTTGGCATGTAATAAGCATTCAACAAATGTTAGCTATTCTCATTATAACAATACTAACAGCGAGAGTACGATCTAAATATATGCAAATAATTTGCAGTCAGCTTCTAACTTCCCTCCTGCAAAGGGCTAAATGTTTATGTTCCCCTCAAAATTCATGTGCTAAGATCCAGGTGCATGCAGTGTGGCACTTCTGTAATCTCTGCTCCCCAGAGGCTGGGGCAGGAGCATCTGGGCTACATAGAGAGTTTGAGGCCAGCCCAGGCTACAGCAAGATTTTATTTCAATAAGTAAATAAATAAGTGCATAAATTGAAATCCTAATCCCCAAGGTGTAGGTGGAGACTTTGGGGGGTGATTAGGTCATGAGGACAGATGAATAGGATTAATGCCTTTAATTTAATCATTTCACTATGTGTATGTATATCAAAACAGCATTTTGTACACTTAAATCTATAAAATAAAAATAAAGAGTCCCAAAAGAAAATAAGAGTAAAAGAAATCATTAAAAAGAAAACAAAAGACCACAGAGAAACCCCTTACCTCTCCACCTTGTGAGGGTACAGTGAGAAGGTATCTGTGTGTGAGGAAAGGGGCCATTGCCAGACACTGAGGCTCCCCAACCTCCACGTCTGCGAGAAACAAATTTCTGTAGTTGATGGGCTACTCAGTCTGTAGTATTTGTTTGAAGCAGCCCAGACACACTAAGACATCTCCTTTAAATGCTGATTCACTGATTATTAGCCAGAGGCCTTCTCTGTGCTAAATATAGTTTATTCCTCTCCTCCTCTTTCTCCCCACTCCTCCGACCCCTTCTCCTCCTCCTTTTTTTCTCCTCCTCCTTCTTATTTTTCTTCTCTCTCTCTTTCTCCTACTGGTATTTGAACTCAGGGTCTCATGCTTTCTAGGCTTTACCACTTGAGCCATGCCCCCACCCCTTTTTCTACTTGAGAAAAGGAGAATCTGCAGAAATGGAATTCACAGTGACATTGCTTGGGGACACCAAGCTTGTGCACTGTGCTCACTCTTATTTCACAGTCACATGGTACTTTGTCCTTTCCTATAGCTTGGTAGTTAAATGTGTGGTGTCATATGGAGGGGGATGCTGGGACGAAGACAGAATGATCTCAGCCGGTCTTAGGGTGCAAATATGTTATAGTAATATTTGGGGGACAAATATTTTACTGTGGAAATTTCAGACACAGAAAAGACGAAAGAATTTTGTAACTAGTACCTGGATACTCACCACTCTACCATCAACATTTGAACACACTTACTCAATCACAGAATTGATCCATCCACCCATCATTTGATCCATCTACCTGTGCAGCTACTTTTCTGCTGTATTACAAAGTAGATGCTGCAGTAATATCTGAAAATGCTAATCTCTGATGCTTCCTCTCTGGGGACCAAGGGTAGGGACTCTGATATGCTCAACTATACCCATCAGTTATCCTTTGATTCTTTTCTTGGAATTTCCTATGACCTCTCCATTTCTCTAAGAGGCAGAAGCAGAATAGCAAGCATAGAAGCCTGATACCTCGATTTGAATCCAGCCCTACCACCCACTAGCCATGCAGCCATGTGGCCTTACTGTGATGCATCAAGATGTACTTGGCACTAAATGAGGTATTGAATGCAAAGTGCTTGCACCAGCCTTTGGCCCTCAAACACGTGCAGAGCACCACTTGCACTAGGCATTTATACATCAGTTCACTTAATTGTTGCTCTAACTCTACAAGACAGTGTCAGTATTATAAAATATAACGAATTTTATATGAGTTGAAAATTAGAATTAAAGTAGTATCTGCCTAACAAGGTGGTTGTGAGGATGACATTAGTTAATATCGGAATGTGCTTGCAACAGTTACTTCGTGAACAGTATGCATCCAACAATTGTTAGGTGACCTGCAAGTTCTTCTGCCTCACTAATGAAATTTAACAGTTTATCCATAATTCATTCTTTTCGCTTTCTCTCTCTTTTTTTTTTATGGTAGTGGGAATTGAACTCAGGGCCTCACACTTGCTAGACAAGTGCTCTACCAGTTAAACAGCCCCATTTTATAACCATAATTCATTATTTTCATAATGAAGATTTCACTAAAAGGCAAGAGAATGTTTTCTGAGATGACACATTATCATTGTCCTTTAACATTTAATAAGACTGTGCTATGGACTGAATTACAACCCCTGTCACCAATTCATATGTTGAAACCCTAACTCCTAATGTGACTATATTTGGAGATACTTTTATTTTGTTTTTGAGACAGGGTCTTACTATGTAACCCAGGCCTCGAAATCATGATCTTTCTGCTTCAACCTCCAAGTGCTGGGATTACAGTCATGCTCCACCATACCCAGTTGGAGATATGGTTTTTAGGAAATAAAGTTAAGTGGCACCATGACAATGGGACCCTAATCTGATAGTGCTGGTAGCTTTATATGGGGAAGAACCTTCTCCCTCTTCCTCTTTCTCTTACTCATGAGGACCCAGTAAGAAGGTTGCCCTATACAAGTCAGGAAGAGAGTCTCAGCAAGAACCAACTTCAGCTTCCAGCACTGTGAGAAAATAAATGTCTATTGCTTAAGCTACAGTCTATGGCATTCTGCTCCAGCAGCCTGAGCAGACCAAACAGCTAATTAGTAAGTAGAAAGAGTTGCACTTATGTGGCAATGAATGGGCACTGCCACTCAGATTTCCTTATCACTGCTCTACAAACACTCCTCACAATGGGGTAGAATGATGAAGAAAGGAAACCTGACTTCTCGGCCCAATCCTGTCCCTCTTCATCTGAGTCATCCTAGGCAAGTCTTCTAGCTAATTCATGCCTTGGTTTTCTCCTCAGTACGGAATGAAATGTCAGCAGCTAATGTATTTATCTTTGCATAATAGGATTGAGTTACATTTTAAAAATCAATGTTGAGGCTGAGATGAAAAAGAAGTAGAAATATAGAATAAAGATCAGGAATTTAGGAGACAAAGTGGTTGGAGTCAGAAGCAAGTGCATGAGAAAAGTCCCTGGGTCTCCTCAGAGATGTTGAGCAGGGCATTGGTTTCCCATCAGAGGCAGACTAGAGTTTGAGTCACTCAGAAGGTTTCAGAGCAGGGAGACCTGGCAGTCTTCTAAATTAGGAAGAGGTTTGGGGATGGGCATGGTCATGAATGCCTATAATCCCAGCCCTAAGGAGCCTGAGGCAGGAAGATATCAAGTTTGAGCCCATCAGGGCTATATAACAAGACCCTGTCTCAAAAAACAAAACCAAGCAAAACAAAAAAAGTCTGAGGGTATGGTAGTTCATGCCTGTAATCCCAGCATTTGGGGAGCTCAGGCAGGAGGATTATGAGTTCAAGACCAATCCGGGCTACACTGAGATTTTGTCTCAAAACAAACAAACAAACAAACAAACAAAAAAGAGGCTTGTATGCTCCCCGCATCATCTTCTAACTCTTGGATTCTATGACTTAATGGTAATAGGGGTGAGGAGAAGAGCAAAGAAGAACTATGAGCCTCATTTATGGTAAAAATGAATAGATAATTGGTCTCCAAATGACCCTGGACTTCTGAAAGGTACAGGGTCTCTCTTCCTTTTTTTTTGCGGTACTGGGGTTTGAACTCAGGGCCTACACCTTGAGCCATGCCACCAGACCTTTTTTGTGAAGGGTTTTTTGAGATAGGGTCTTGTGAACTATTTGCCTCAGCTGACTTCAAATCTCAATCCTCCTGATCTCTGCTTCCTGAGTACCTAGGATTATAGGCATGAGCCATTGGCGCTGGGCTCTTT